TATTCATGATAATTTCCTCTGGTTAAGTTAGATACAATGTTCTACGGTGGTCTTGTTCAAAGTACTTTGACATTTATATTGTTTTTATAAATCCTGTTCATGGAGATTTCACCAATACAAGTGAATCTAAAACATTTCAACCTTCATAGAGGCATTTATCCTAACTGTTAAGTATGTCAAAATTTACTAGAGTAATCCTGTACCTTGTGAATATCTTAGATATTTTTATATTTTATATATTCTTAATCCTATCTGTTTGTCCTTTCATGACTAATTTTGTAAGTGATGCAGTGAATTAGGTGATTCATGTACTGTTGTGACAAGCTTTTGAGTTACTCCTTAGGCTTCTCAAGTGGCCTCCACATTTGTGACTGGGATATACAGGGTATCCATAAATTATCTTACCTATTTGAAAATTTAGTAACCTCAAGAATTTTGTAGATAGAGCGTGCCAGCTTTATTATCCAGTACTTGACAAGCAACTCAAAAAAAGTAATATTGTCTCAGTAGACTTTCACATGTGCACAGTGTTCTGTCTGTATTTTTTAGGTTCTTAAGTTTTACATCAGACCAGATAATTTATGGATGCCCTGCAATGTGTTTCAGAAATCCATCAGAATTAGAAAAAAAAAATATGGGGTCTCTCCTGATTCAACTGCAGCCAATTTAAGCAGGGAATAGCTTTGGTGAATTAGGTATGTGAAGGCGAGGACTGTGGGTCTATTCTGCCACCAGTACACATGTGCTCCAAGACCCAAGTACATCATAGGAGAAGGCCACAGGCTCAACACCTCAGTTGCTACTCAGTTAATGGAATATCTCTTGTGTGTCTCTGTGTTGTATCACCAAAGTGCTTTATTTATTAATTTAAGGCCTTTATTTGAGGAATTGACTGGTTGCTATGCAGTTCATTAACGCTGTACACTACAGTACTTTATGAACTTTGGAGATGTATAATTTGTGTTGCAGCAGCAATGTTTACAGTTGCTTAATGACCAGGTTGGTAGGTATCTGACAGACCGATGATCAGGCATTAGCACCACTAGGTGTCGTGTCAATATACAACTGTATTGTACTTTGATTATTCCAAATACTGTGTTCTGGCCTGGGATATTAATGGAGATACAGTTTTGTTTTGAGAGTAGTGCTTGTTATCCCCTCCTTAGGGTTTGTTGGATATGTACATTATATTCCCTATCTTGGGAGTCTGGACAGGACATTAGAGAGAGTAACCTTGGATATCTGGACAGTTCCATCACACAGTTGACATACAGTACTGTACAAAGAAGCTAGAACAAGTAATACTCTAACTCAGGCTCCTTAGATAAAGAGTGTGAGTCTTGGTTGTTGCTCTCCTCCTGCCATCAGCACTAACTACTGATTTGAGTGTATGTAAGTCTCCTGATCCACTGCATTAGATGTAATGTTTATTGATCATAAAATCCCATTTTGCAGTGTGGTCTCCCACAAATGTGTGAGGTTCAAAATTATGTGAATCAGAAATAAGTGAAGTTGACTTCTTATAAGAAAATGGCAGTTAGACCGACATTACTCAAAGATGTGTACAACTCAACCCCCCTGTAACGAAAGTGTGATGTTACATTAAAAAAACTTTTCGGCATAGGAAAATATTCACAACTAACATAACTTTATAACTACTAAATTGTGTGCATTAATGCTTCACTCTTCCTCATGTATGTACAGTATAGTAAAAAAAAAAAATTCTGCACCTCTGGGTCTGACGGTCTTTGCAATGGTCACTGACTGAAGCCATGTTCATTTGGTAAGGTTGGTACTTCTGATTGTGTGATGCCTTTTGTAGCCAATACAATTTATTCCTTATATCAATGATAGTTAATACAGAGAAATTAACATGAATACATATAAAACTCGTGTTGTTCATAATTCTTGGTCCATTGTGTTATATTGTATAACAATCGTAAGGGTGCAGAAATTTTTGTTGTTGTCTGTACATTACACCCAGTCCTCGCTTAACATTGTCCCAGACAACGTTGTTTCATTATAACGCGCTACTCTTTAAATACCCATGATTCTGCCAGCGTTGTTTTACGACCCGACCGATTCGTTATAACGTTATCACCCAACACGGACTACTTTGTATGGTACTTACGCCTTCTCACAGAGCTCACAGCATCCCCAGTTTTTGTTATGCTTCCAAAGCGTACGTGCGTGTTTAAGTGTTTTTGCTATAAATACTGTACTGTAACCATTCGGAATGGCTCCAAAGTACCTATCGAGTGTTAGTAATGTTAGTGAGGAGGAGCGAACAGCAGCCGAGGGGAAACCCCAGTCAGAGTGGGAAGGGGAGCCCCCCTCTGGTCTCAGTGACTCGCCACCCTCCTCCTCTCCACTACACACCACCCACCGCCTCCACCTCAGCCCATCAGTGAGTACAATACAAAATGATTGTATTATCTTATTAATTAAACAGTAATTTAGTTTATTTATCTTTTTGGATGCATAATATATATTTTCTATAAAATTTCCATTGAATTTATGGATATGTAATGTATTTTATGGGCCAAAGGGAGGCTAGGGAATGTAACTAGTGATTTTATCTATTTCTTATGGGGGAAATTGATTCTGTTAATGTTGTGTTTTACAAGAACGTAACCACGATGTTAAGCGAGGATTTCATGTACATAAGTCAGTAATGATGTAGAGCTAGACAATAGCACATTGGTACAGTGTTGGCAAAATGGTTAGCATTTTAGTTTTTCCTGGATATTCAAGCACAGATGCTTCCTTTACTGAGAAATCTTTTTGGTGTGCTTGGCCTGGAGTCAAAGGCTTGCAAAATATTGCAGATGTTGAGTGATGATACAGTACAGTGCAGTATGTACTCACAGTACAGAAACAGTTTGCCAACTTGGAGATACAGTAGTAAAAAGCCTTAGCTTAGTCAAAAAGGGTACAGTACAAATTAATGTTAACATGATTTGCAAAACTTAGATGTGAGAATGACATATTTACTGAGTCCCTGTAAACAAGCATATGGACTGTGTGACTTGGATCCCTACCACTTACCTGGGGAGGGATGTTGAGGACCTGAGAGCTGAGGTGTTGAGCCTCAACCTACCTTGGTTTTGGGGAAATACACAGTGGCACAGCAACATAGATTTACAGCTTTCACCTGTGGTTAGCCAGTTCATCTCTGCTATACCCTAGTTATAGAGGCTATCCAGTTGTCTAGTTTTACTGGTTTTCAGGAGTGTTGACCAGTGACACAAGTAGCAGGTTCCTGTGAATTAAACCCATAAGAATGCCAGTACAGCACATGAGTTGGCTAATCAGCTTTGTCAACATGAGAAGGATGAGTACAGTATTTCAAGATAAATCCCACATTTTCAGGTTCTCTGTGTTGGGTCTCCTGGCCATGATCCTGTGCTGGGGCTTAACGTCAGTCTACTTGGTCACCTCTGTTGTAAGTATATAATTAACTGTTTTACATTAGAATTAATATTATCACTTCAGTCATATGGACCTCTTTTGTTATAATATAATACTGGTGACTGGAATTAAGACTAAACATACTGTACTTTTTTTATTTGCTGTCATCCAATTATTTTTGTTGCTGAAACATCTCCATATATTACTTTAACACAGTGCTTTCTTTCCACTTACTGTATGTGCTTTGCTGTTTCCTAAATGTCTGTTCTTTAACCTATCCTTCTATCTCAGTTTTAGTTTTTCTTTGTTCATTATATCATCTGCTTCTAAATTTTACAACAACATGTAGGATACACAGCCCTAATCACAACTATTCTGTTTATAACACTTTCTGGGTTACTCGAGGAGAAAGGTCTTGGCATTGTGATAGATCACTCACTGAAGGTGGTGCAACAGGTGGGGGCAGCAGTTAGAAAAGCAAACAAAGATTTGGGAATTATGAAGCACACCTAATTTATTCACATTTTTGGATATTAATTTGTTAAGTTTTAGCCTCATCAAACTCATTACTGGGACCTGGTTTGACCCTCATTAGATCTTAATGTAGGGTATCACGTTCTTAAATTTTTCTGGGAATAAAGTGAAATCCAGTTGGATCCTGACAGTACAGTACTGTATTGTTTACATTATCCTGGGATGGTATCCATATATAAGATATCTTGGTGATGTTGGAACCATGACTGCTTTAATCATATTGATTTCCTCATAAAACTCATTAAATCTATCTCCTCTTTCACTTCTTATACCTAACTCAGGTTGTCCTCCTCTGGTGTTTCTGTCCCTCTTCTCTCACTTACATTATATCATGGCTTCCAAGTGCCCTCTTAACTGGGAAGGCAGGGTGGCAATTCTCTGAGGTAATCAAAGATCACCCGCTTTTTCATTATATTAAAATAATCATTTCAATTTGCCGCTTCTTTTGCATACTATTTTAAATGTCTGAAATCTGACATCAATTTTCATCTCTTGGTGAAAAAGCCTGAATAAGTGTAAAGTCTATGGATTTAGCATTAAACTTGACACTTCCCAGGTTCTGATTTACAAGAATAGCTACACCTCTCATGCTGTTCACCATCTGAAAAAATAAATAAAAAACTTTCTCCTCCAGTATTTTAATCCTATTTGAACATGTCCATTTTACTTCACATGAACCCAGAATATCCCACTACAACCTTCCATCATACTGCAGACATTTTTGATGTACTGTATGTTTCTCCCTTTCATATACTTACCATACATTCCAATTTCTATTTTGAATTTATGGCTGTTCCTAATCGTCTGGTAAAATGAGCTGGGTGCTGATCTTCATATAACCCCTTTGTGGTAAGGATATATTGTACCAAATAATTGCTGATCAAAACTTACCCCAAAATATTTCGATCTTTTTTCCCTTTATTCCTTGGTAATCATTTGGTTGATGGAAAATAACATTCTATTCAGTTTTGTGTGTACTGTACAGGTAGTAGGTAGTAAGCAGCTACCAAACAGGGAGGTACTGCTGCCTGGGAAGATATTGGAAGCATTATGTATTGTCCAATGGTAGACCCTGCTGCCATATGGCATCACGGAAATTGTGACCAAGTCCCAGGTTGCTGATCTGACTTTCTGCCTCATTTACACAGAATTGCAGGGTCTCAATTGTTTCTCTTAAATTTGACAACACAACATACATATAATATTTCTCACTTTTGATCTTTTTTTTTATTTATTTATTTATTTATGGTTCTTTATTATTATTATTATTATTACTACAGTGTTATTATTATTATTATTATTATTATTATTATTATTATTATTATTATTATTATTATTACAGTTGTTATTATTATTATTATTATTATCATTATTATTTTATTTTTTTATTTAAAATTTTGTATTTTTTATTATAAATTTTATTTACTATGAATTATTATTACATTTTCGCCCCCCAGGCCCCGATGTGGGTCAGTGACCTGTGCCCGGGTGGGCTAATCCCAGTAAAAAAAAGAAAAGAAAAGAAAAAAGTACAGTATAACCTTCTTGCAGGCTCTGTCAGACTGGTGTATGGACCCCAATCCTTTCCTGGAGGACCAACTCAGCAAACTGGTGTCTAAAGATGTGGCCGCCTACTACCTGCGCTGTGACCCGACCCGACCGTCACCTTTCACCCGCTATCTAACCCACGCACAGCAAGCAGCAAGTCTCGTACTGGCATCACTCAATAAAGTTACACGTATCGCTGATGTTTATTATGAACGAAAGGAGGTTAGTGATGTTCTGTAGTGTAAAATTTAAATTTTAGTTTGATTTAATTATATAGAATAACAAGAAACAGGATGATATAATATGCTGTGGACCTCAGCCATTCCCAGCCACTCTCTACAGTAGTTCTCCCACCTTGTATAATTTACCATTCACAGCCATGTGTTTGGCTGATGGTATAAACCCAACTTTATTTTATTTTTACCTTTCATATCATTCATAGTTTTCATGGTGAGCCCCCAAGCTAAATTATGAATACAGGTACAGAATTAGTCTTAAAGGTGTGATGGTACGAGAAGGCAATGCAAACTACTTGAACCACCAACCATTTTAACCACCAACCATTTCAACCATCAACCATTTTAACCACCAACCATTTCAACCATCAACCATTTTAACCACCAACCATTTCAACCACCAACCATTTCAACCATCAACCATTTTAACCACCAACCATTTCAACCACCAACCATTTCAACCACCAACCATTTCAACCACCAACCATTTCAACCACCAACCATTTCAACCACCAACCATTTTAACCACCAACCATTTCAACCACCAACCATTTCAACCATCAACCATGTCACCCACCAACCATTTCAACCATCAACCATCTCAAACCACCAACCATTTCAACCGTCAACCATCTCAAACCACCAACCATTTCAACCATCAACCATGTCACCCACCAACCATTTCAACCACCAACCATTTCAACCATCAACCATGTCACCCACCAACCATTTCAACCACCAATTATTTCAACCACCAACTCTCTCCCTAGCATACTGTACATTCAATATTGTGAGAGAATTCACTTAGTACAGTACATATAGATTAATTTTCCAGTGAGACGTCCCTCTAATGGGCCAGGGTAGTCAGTTAGAATGAGGTCTCACTATAACCTGATAATTCCCCTCATGAGCATAAAGTAACAATGATAAATTTGCTCCTTTGTCAGATCCATCCTCGCTTGGACCATTTAGGTGCATTCGTGAATCAGTCCCAGCGGAGTCTAGGAGGTGTAGCGGCTTTGTTGGATTGCCAGTCCCTACACCACCACTACCGCAATGCCCTCAATGCCACCTGCTACCAGGCTATGTGAGAATATACTTATTGTACTAGTGTTATATAATTTTACTACTGTCTCTATTACTGTACTGTACTCATCTGTATACAGTACAGTTTAACCTTTGTTTATTGCTCTCATAAATCATATACAGTAGTGTTGACTGCTGTGATGTTTAAAGAACAATTTCAGACATTTTATTCTGTGGTGTTAATGTTGGTAGTGTTTGTAAAATTGATAAAAATGTGGAAGAATATTTTTTAGTGCAAGTTCTGTTGTTACCCCTGGCCAGGGCACCAGAGGAGGAGGAATAAAGTATTGTCATGGCTCCTGCTGTGTGAGTCTGACCATCTGTTATCTCTTCGATTTTTCTTTAACACAGATAGATGCCCCAGAAAATGATACATGATTTTTATAATATCTATAATCCTTAGATGTTCCTTGGAAGGTCAATTCAGGCGTGGGTTAAACCAGTTTTTATAAATTATTTATTTATTTTATTTATTTTATTATTATTTTTTGGTGTGCGTGCGTGCGTGCGCGTTGGGAGACTGCAGGTGGCAGTAGGTGGCGATGACGATGATGGTGCAGTAGTCCACTGACAAACCCTGCTAGTGCGTGGTGGTGAAGGTCACTGAGGGATGGCATTTCTAGGGTGGAGAGAGAGTTGTTGTAGCCGGAGTAGTCTGCTCCGAGTATGATTCTGCAGGCCCTCTTCTGTACCTTCTCTAGCTGATGTTGTTGGGCAGAGTTGAGAGAAGACGACCAGGCTGGTGACGCATATGTTAATTTTGGGAGAATAAATGTGTTTGTGTGTGTGTGTGTGTGAATAATAATAATTAGCGGTGTATTGAAAAAGTTCTGCAGCCTGAAGGCTGAAAATATACATTGGACATAAATTACTTATTACATACATTGACATTGGTGGTTTAACAAAAGCCTTCATTAGAGAAAGGTAAAGGAACATACAGTGAACATACAGATTAATGTTTACAGTGGAGGTCATGTAGATCTTGTGCTCTGAGGTGTTGAACAGCAGACACGTAGTGTAGTAATTCCCTCACAGATGGTGTTATGAGGGGCATCACGTGGTGTAGTAGATCCCTCACAGGTGGTGTTATGAGGGACTTGATGTGGTGTAGTAATTCCCTCACAGATGGTGTTATGAGGAACCTCACATGATGCTGTAGCAACTCATTCACTACGTGGTGTCGTAGCATCATGGGGACACCACGTGGTCTGGTGTCACAGGGCCTCACTCACTTAAGTGAGTGAGGTATGGTCCCAGGCGTCCCTATCGTGGACGGATTAACACATAGCTGGTGTTGTTGAGTCTTATGGGCAGTTATCACTGGGTACCTGGGACCTCACTCTGTAAAGGTTAGCTTGGGTACGACTTAGCTGTTGCTGTCGAGTTGTTTTTCATTTAAGCACTGTTCACCACTATTCAACACTGGTTCCATTCCTTTCCTAATTGAAATAGTAACTTCTGGCGAGAACTTGTTGATATTCCGGTGGGGAGGAGGGTTCAGGAGAGGAAGTTGGTATGGGCCAACATAATAGTTGACCTGGCTGCTGCCAGAGCAGCGCCAGGTATGTCTTGACCCTTCGGTGGTCAGGGATGAAGTGTGCGTGCTTGCGTGCGTGCATGTGATAATATTTTTGTCCAGTATTCATCCCAAATGAAGGTAGATAATTCATTAATCCACAGGTCCTGTATACTTTCTGATTCCTCATGATTTCTTTACAGCATTTCCCAGTTGATGATGAGGTCAAGAGAGGCTTTTCCTAATGTGCACAGTTCACACACTATGTAGTTTGTAGTGTTTGATGTCAGTCTTTTAGCTTCAGTGTTGTTTTGTTCTCTCTTCAATGTTATCAGTAACAGAAGAAAAAAAAATCAGTCCCCATCATTCTTAACCCCAGAGCAGTAAAAGATTTCAAGAATAACTTCACTAAAGTTAGCTAGACCAGGCAGGCTCAACGTGCACGCCTTGTGGGAACTAACTTACTAAACTGAACTGAAGGAAGTTGTAGAGAAAGACATAAAAACACAAAACCTTAACCTCATTGGAAAGGTATAATTCATGAATTAATCTCAACCTTCAGTATTCTTGAGGTTTCCTGGGTTTCAACCTCAGGAATACGGTTGAATAACACACCACACCTGCAGTAGCTTAATTTGAACTTTTTCATAACATGGGATATCAGGACCAATCACCCATTTCTCTACCTAATTAGAGTTTTATATTTGTATTTTATGATAGTTTATTCAAAATGTTAATAAGCAGTTTGTTTTTGTTACACTTTCATACATTTGTTTATTATTTGCATAGTTTGACTTAATGTTTTAACTTTCAGGTCTGGTGTTGTGTACTTGTTGTTGTCAGCTGCAGGAAGTGGTCTGCTCTTCACCATTTTGGTCTGGATTACATCTCACACTTGGATCTACCTCAACCACAAGTGAGCATCTCTTTTGTTATCCTTCATTACATCTTGGAGTTTGTGGATACTTGAGCAGTCTGGCATCTATTTATGGAGAGGGAGATAGAGAGTAGACTAATATTTGTTGACTTCTTTATTGTAAATAACAAATGATAAAAGAAAAAATAATATGTAATGGAAGAATCAGACTATAGAAAACCTCACCATTAGTTCAGTCGTCAGCTCATTAGGCTTTAGTTCAGTTTTTGTTGCAACAAAGGGATAGCATGTGATATTGTTTTATTCACTTGGGTGTCTCAGTTATTGGAGCCTGATGATGAAATCTTTTCTGCTTATAACTTTATACTGTAACTGATCCACCATAACAGCCTAACATTTGCTTTGCTAACTCTTAAAGCCGCTAACTGTAAGCAGGTGCATACAACACTTCGTTTATTATGAAAACAGCTTACTGTTTACACTGTTTATGATACACATTACTATTCACAAATTAAAATTTTTGTATTACATCTATCATCAAAGCTTGTTGCTTACATCTTCCATGATTGTATTGTTAAGATCTCTGGCACCCTGTCATTAGACAGTACGTACGGGTCAGCCTTAATGATTATAGACATAGAATGCCTCAAGGCATGTTAGTGAGTTCCTGATTTCGTCTCTCTGCTTCAGAAGAGACGCAACTGGCCCCAGTTCCACATGGCCAAACAGGAAGAATGTACAAGCTGTCAGAGTTTGGCTCAACACTCCACCATCCCACCCAGCAGCTATTGTGTAGGGATTTCTGACAGCACAGTTTTGATTGTTTAAAAAAAACCTGTTTCCTTAATCGTACTTGCTTGCCAAAAGAAAAATAGTAAGCCTTCAGTTTGTATATATAGCAGTTATCTAACATGACATGGATCAGTACGACTCAAGTACATCGACCTACTTTCACTTTGTCCAGCTAAGTGGAACTGATGTTTATATGCTGTATGGGAAAGGCTTGTGTAAAATAATTCTGTATGTCAGACACTAATTGCTCAACCTTCACATTAGTTGTGTATGATGAATTGCTCAGTACTGAAGTAGATAGCTTATACATAAGCATTTTTTTTATTGTATTGTTTTATAAAAAATCTCTTGAAGTGGGATGAGTAGACAAACTGACTGAGTAGAAACTGAACACACAAAACTGCTAATTTTTGTACATTAGCAGAATTTTTCTCCTTTTTCACTTATATGGATTACTGTAGAGAGGCACCACAGCTTGAGGAAACTTAAGACTTGCTTGTAGATAATGTTTGTGTATGTACTGTATATACATATATATACCACTCTTGGAGAGTGGTACACACACTCAACAGCATTACACACTCAGCATCAGTACATACTCAGCCTCCGTACAGAGACTCAGCATCAGTACAGAGACTCAGCATCAGTACAGAGACTCAGCATCAGTGCTTTGCTTATATGCCAACAAATCTTGCATGTTGGTGATGCTGTTACTGTCAGATAATGTGAAGCTTACCAGATTCTTGCTCTTGAAGAAAAAATGCATGAAAATAATAATGATAATATCAGTAAACATACACCAAGGAGGAGAATAAAATTTGGGACTCGAAAGGAAATAAGAAAATATTTGAAAATGGAAATACTCTATTAAAAGATAGAGAATTGGGAAATTGTCGTGTGTGATGAACTTTTACTTGTGTTGGTTGTGTTGACAGCATGTGGTGCATGTACTGTACTGCACTGCACTGCACTGTCTTTCCCAAACTCTCTTTTTTCATTATCACTGAGATTATACTCAATGAAGCATTTCTTTGTTTTTTTTTTTTTTTTTTTTTTTTTTTTTTTTTCTTGACAGATGCTCATTATATGTCACAGATGCTATGACTGGACAAGTTATCCTAAATGTAAAAAAAAACGACAACAGAGAATCAAAATTAGTGGCCATTAATACACCGCTGCCAACACCACCACAACTTTCCTAATATTCAGTGCAAGAGTCTCTGTTATTATTTATGCAGTACACATAAATATACTGTAATTGTAATTCAAGGCAGTTTACTAACCAGAGCTTCTTTCAGTACATAAATTGCCAGTTATCTTCTAGTTGTAGCTCTTGTTTAAAATAACCTGGACCTATACATTGATTTTTAGTATTTTGATATTACTGTGTGGTGGCAGTGCTTAAAAATTTGCATTTTTATATTCACTACTGTATTTTGCTTTCAAGTTCTTGACTTGTCTTTTTTGAGGTCTAACAAAGGATATGTTGAATTCCTGCCCTGTGAACTAGTTCCACTCTTATGCTAAATATTTTTTTACCATATTTTTTTTTCTGCAAATAACTATGGTTTCAGGATGTAAATGGAATTTTTCTTCATACTTTTGGAAGCCACTGAGCCTTTTTTTTTTTACATGCCAAAGAGTGGCCAGAATCAGAGGTGCACAGATTATCATCACCTGCTCACATACATTCTCTTTAACTATTGTCATAGATGTGTTTTACAGTGATATTCCCCTTCCACAAAGTTTCCATCAGGTTCACCCATTGCTTCATAAAACCCATCAACAGCACATCTGTACTCAGCTGCTTCTTGGCTGCCCATCTTCCTCCTATTCAGAACCTTCTTTACTCTGTTCGTCTCCTTCCTACTTATCCTTCCCTCCCTCCCTTAATATCCACCATAAGGGGAGCGTCTGGCTGAAGCCCGAAATTGTTAATAATTGATCAATCAATATCAATTTCCAGTCAGCAGTTAAGGACACCAGGTACATTGTTACTATACAGTGATCCTCGATAATCAGATTTCAAGCACATTACCTCCCAGGAGATTTTAACCTCGTTAACGAGCAATCCCTCGATAACGAGTTTCTATGAGCCGACTTCAACATGTTGTATCATTGTCCACCAGCTGTAGTATTAGTCCGCCAATACAGTAATTGGTTTTAGGCTTAAATTCCATTTTAGTAAATACAAGAAGTTTATACTATTCAATAATTTAAAAGTTTATTATTAACTTTTTAGTCATTTTAACATTTATTGAACATAATTGAAGGTAAAGAAACTAGTTTCTGTGCCATCCAGCCTGTTAACACACACAGACAGGCGTTAGTCTCTGTTTTCAGTGGAGTAACATTTTGCTTGAGACTCTTCAACTAAACGCTTTTTTTTCGTGTTTCCAGTCAAATTATTGGTCATTTTGAAATATATTTTACATATTGACAATATATAATGCAGTGTGTTGATTTAAAGAAATAATTTGAATTACACCAAGAGAACTAAAATTTTATGGGTGAAATGGTGCCATGGGGTACCTCTTCCACCCCAATGCCTTCTCCTCTCCTCCACCCCATTCTAATTCCCATTATCATCATCATCATCCAGGAGCCTTCTACATAGACACCTCAAAGTAAGTGTACTTTTCTACCTTTTTGTTGAATTTAGGCAATTTTCGTGAGTTGAACCAATACTCCAAAAACCCATTGAAACAATGGTTTCGATTAACTAGTTTTTCGGTTTACGAGCAACCTACTGGAACGGATTGTGCTCGTTAACCGAGGGACCACTGTAACCTGAATCGGTTCTGCCTAATCCCTACTCCCTGATATCTGATTTTTCCCTTATACCCGCTATTCTTATAAATTTTCAAAATCCTACTTCTCTATAACGTCTCACTAAATTATGTTGAAATTCATATGGAATATATGTAATTTACTCCTTTTGAATGTGATATAGATATTTCTGATGATCACTTTCATATTGGGTGCATGAATTTTTTTCCTAACTTAACATTTTTTTCTTTCAAATATTTATAAAGATAAATCAGCAAATAATAAACCAAGCCAAATATAAAGAAAATCTATATGTTATGCCATGCACAATATGTTATACTACTACCGGGTACTTAGTTTTTGTTTTATTATAATCAGCCCATAAATGGCCAAGTCGATTTGAAGGTTAGAAAAACTCGATCTGAGACATGGACCGATAAAGGTGGCGTGAGAGCAACTCACGATTGTACTTCACTCTTGCACATTTGATGTGTCACTGACTCCCATGATGACGGTCTCCTGTGGTTAGCTTACTGAGAAAGGTGCCAGATAATGATTTTTACTAGTTGGTGGTACTGTATTACAATACAGTGGGGTATGCTATAACGACGATCCTACTAGAATATTCCTATAACTAACGTTTTACCATAAAATTGAGAATGCTATAACTAACTAAACTCCTACAACAAACATTATTTAATTTTTTTTTTTTTTCTAATTTATTGTTTTTTTATTACAAATATTAAATGATATTCTTTATTTCAGGGTTTAGATGCATATTTATGCACTTTTTACAATTTTACAATTTTATATTATATTTTTCAGTGTTATGGTTGTATTTGGCCTGGAACGATTAATCCTATACTAACGAATGCTATAACGAACAAGGTTCTAGAACCAATTAGATTCGTTATAGCATACCCACTGTATTTTTACACCAAAATATTATAAATACTTTTCTACAGCTTTTCTTATGGAAACAGAAGGGCCTTCTAAATGAAGGGGGGTAGAAAAATCATGCATAGGTACTAAATATTATGAATTATGCAACCAAAATACGTCAGCATATAGCCATAGGCATCGGCTTTCCTCAGGAATTTTTCTGAATATTTTCGTAATTTTCTGATTTTCATGGTATTTTCAGCCGGACGCTCCCCTGAAGTAAACTCTCTTTGGCCTTTCCTGACATGTCTTTCATTTCCACATCTCTTCTTTCTCTTTGTATCCCCTTCAGTAATTTGATGACTCAAGCACACTATGTGCATTTCCTTTAATTTAACTTCTTCCTCTTACATCTAGAGTTCATGCTTCACAGTTATACAGTATTATTGGGTCAATTGTTCTTCTACACATCCCCATCTTTGTCTTCTCTAACACATATATTTCCCAGTTACTCTTATAATTTATTTCAACTCTCATATTTCTATTCACTGACACATCCACTCTCAGGTTCTTGATGCACCATTCACTTCCACCATTCTATCTTTCTGTCTCCCATTTATATTTATTTGTCCCTCTTTTCACATACAGTCCTAATTTCTTCAGTGTCCTTACTCGCCCAAATGCATTCACTGCTAATTGTAATTCCTCTACACCTTCCACCAGAGCAGTGTCATCTGCAGTCATCAGCTGGCTCACCAATTCACACATCATACTGTATCCCTATCGAGTAAACTTGCTCCCCTCTCTCTTACTCCTGTTGTCACTTCTGCTATACTGCCCCATCCCTGAATATATTGAACAACTCTGGTAACATCACAGAATTCTTCACATATTTCTACTCTCATCAAGAACCAGTTTTCCCTCTTCTTACCTTACTGTACATGATTCAGTTTCTTTATATAAACTCTCCTCTCCCTCTGTGAAAACTGCACATCAATCAACAATTTCTCCAAATCCTGTGTATTTTCTGTACATCCTCTATGGTCTTTTTTAACTGTGTCAAGGACTTTTTCCAGAGCCATAAGATGTCTGACCTATTTTAAGACTTAATAACCTCAAAAATATTATAGATAAACCATGTGCACGTGTGGAAGTGTTACTGAGACGAGAAAAACCTTAATAGTTGTTTGTTTATTAAGTGTAATAAAACTGGAGTGTTCTGTCTATAATGCTTTTGAGGTTATTAAGTTATAAAATGGGTCATAAATATATGGACACCCTGTATTATAGATTCTTCCCATTTTCTGTTAATTTTTACTCAAATTTCTCAACATAAGCACTTGACTCTT